TCTCTCTCTCTCTCTCTCTCTCTCTCTCTCTCTCTCTCTCTCCCTCTTGACCTTTCTTTTCATTTATAGATTTTACTTTTCTAAAAAAAGGCTGAAGTGAGGGATTCAGCCGAGCTTTCTTGTAACATGAGGGGTCGGCTTGTTGGGGTATCTGTCTCACCCGGTACCCCACAGCCGGCAAGTCCCAAAGAAAATAACACAGAGTCTACATTAGGTTATAAACTGATTGGCCCATTAGGTCAGGCTTCTTATTAGTCCTTGTAACTTATATTAATCCATTATCATTATCTATGTTAGCCGCATGGCTCAGTACCTTTCTCAGCGTGGCAGCTCACATGTTGCCTCTTCGGTGATCTGGGCAGGAGTGGCAGAGGAACCGCCCTGCTTCCCAGAATTCTCCTGTTCTCATTGCATCACCTCTACTTCCTGTCTGGTTTTCCCGTCTATACTTCCTGCCTGGCCAATCAGCGTTTTATTAAAATACATGATTGACAGAATACAGATAATTCTCCTGCACCACTTTCTAAGTACAATGAAGTAGAGGTTGGGTAGCAAACTATTTGTCATTGTTTTCAGACAAAGGGACAAACACACACAGGTTTGTCCCTAAAAAAAGAACTCACATCATGGACTACCTTAAGACACAGTATTTGCTAAAAATCTACATTTAATCATGGGATGGGAGCAGAAAATTCTTGTAAGGTGGATGCTAGTAACTAGGGCACTGGTGTCAGGAAGGCTGACATTTCTGCAGTTGCCTGTGTGTGTGCTGACCACTGCAGGGTGCTCAGCATTCACGGGATCACAAATAAAACACTACCTCTGGGTAGAAACACTCCACAAACTGGTGGATTTGTGATAATAATGTGTGATGTGTTTTGCTTTGTTTTTACGTGAAGGATTGTGTTCTTGAAGGGAAGAGGCAATTAATGTTGCTACTGAGCCTTATAGCTTACTCAGCAACAACAAAGCATGGGTTTTCCAATGCAGACCTTCTGTCTAATGCTTCTTTTCCATGTCCTGTTCACTGGTGCCTGCATTCAAATACTGCTACCAGAATATACAGGTTCTCTATGCCATCCTCACAGCACGCTCCTCCTGTTTAAAACTTGCAGCATTCAATAATCATTACTATTTTCCCCTGAAGGCTTAGATAAAGCCAATCATTTTCTTAAACACATAAAAGAAACAAAACGCAGGAGTTGCTGTTATTCTAATGGTGACAAATGTGAGAAACCATGTATGTGGTACCACCTCATGTACACTCTCCTGCTATGTCTCCATAGTTACAAACCTTGAGGACCGCTAGAAGCCCGCATTTTGATATAAGCATTCTTATACTTGTAAAACCTTAAGAAGGCAAAATTAACAGACCAACAAAATTAAAACCTTAAAATGCTATCGATTTATAACTCTGTAACTCCTGTCAAAGTTTTGTACATGTACGTGTGGGCAATAACACACACACACACACACACACACACACACACACACACACAAACACACCCCACTCACACTCCTGGTAGGAAAATTGTGAGGTCTGAAGTTGAAAGGTATCATGTGGCCCTGAGTTAATTACTTAATTCTTCTTAAAATAAGTTGTCTTCCAATTAAAAAGGGGATGAGAGTTATCAGCTTCTGTAACACCCATGTCTCGGGAACTATCAAATGATGATCAACCGATTGAAATGACAGTGCTGGGCCAAGAGGACAAGGCTGCAGAACGGTGGTTCAGTGACAACTTTTCTGTCACTATTTGATTCTCTAGAGATGAGTAGAGACCAGGAACGTTTAGTGGTGATGTGGGCAGCTCTGACAGTCACCACTGTCATGAAATATTGTGTTGGACATTTGGACAGAGCCATTGCAGTTGTTACTGACAAATTCTCCATCCAAATGGAGACAGCAGGCCCTCTGCTTTGGATGAAACTCCTATTTCTTGTCTTCTATTAGTTTCTATGAAAGAAAAATGAAATAAGGCTAATATTATTAATATATATTAATTATATATTAATAATTAGTAATAATTATTACTGACAATTTAATCGAATCTTCTTTGGCCTTCTCTAATTTCCAAGAAATGGAAAGGTTAGGTTGCTCTGTAAGTTAATGCACCATTAAAAATATCCAGCTGTCTTAATAGCAGATCATAGAAAGGATAGGACAATTAGCATGAGGCAATTTCACACCTTAATCAATGTCACATGGAATCTCGATGGAACTGTTGGGAGTGAGTTAAACCCTGGTTTGGAGGTAACAGATCACAGGGAAGTCCCCAGCATGCTGAAATATTGATTACAAAGACTGAGAAATTATGAACAAAAGAAGATGTGTGTCATTATCTGAAAAGAGCAGGAACAGTATTCAAGTGTCAAAGAAAGATAAAAGTAGGTAAAGAATGTGTCCGGAACAGGAGGGGACATTTCATTTCAGAGACCAGCAAAAAGTGGCTGGGAAGAGTTACATTGGGAAAGGGAAGCTCAAAAGAGGAAGGGAAGAAGACAGAGCGTGGGACAGCAAGGGGAAGGGAGGGAGATACCAAGAGAGAAAGACAGAGAGTCAGTGTGACTATCTTTTCTGGAATATACTGTGCCAGGGAAGTCTATATTTTATTCTAAATAAATAATAAATATTATAAATACTTTCTGCATTTATCTACAGCATGGTTCAGCCCCAACGAGACTCTTTGTACATGAACTATCTAGCTTATTCCAGATGATTTTATGTATATATGTGTGTGTGTGTGTGTTGGCATGTATGTGTTTATATTTGTGTGCATACATATATATGTATATATGCATTGTGTATTTGTGTGTGCATACACACAAATACATATATATGTGCATGCATATATGTGCAATATATATATATAGTAGTTTTCATTTTCCCAGCTGGAGCTTCAGAACTTTAGGAGCCCAGTGTGTACTTCTCTTTGGTGACTCACTGTGTAGGAGGGACTCTCTGCTCTACAATCTCAAGATTCTTTTCATCAAGTGTTTCACCTCTTAGCATTTCTTGAAGACAGAAGATAATAAGGCATTGTAAATTTTCCTAAAAAAATACTTAAAGGCATTTTGCTTTTAAACTGGAAACTTTTGAGCACTGAACCTTCTTACCATGGTTAATCCTTATTTTATTTCCATGAAGCAGATGAAATTTATAACTGACTTCATTCTCAAAAGGGGTCTAGACAGAATAAGGAAAATCATTTCCTCAAAATTACTTAGCAGGCAATTGCTAAGAGTAATCAGAAGTAGATCATCCCATTCTTGGTTAGTTTGGTGTTTCTTAGGTTATACATTTTTTGTTGTTGTTGATTAAGTTAGTAAAATAATTGGCATGGCACCTGCCAACTGCATGTAGTAATTAGCCTAGCACTCAAACACATCTATCTAAGTAACAGTGATGAATTTCAAATTGCAACATGATTTGGATAGCTATATGTTCATCGTGTCTGTGACAGAAAGTTCCTGAAAGGAACAAAACTCCACTGAACTTTCTAGAAGGCTGGTGAACTGAGCAGAAGTTCCAGTGAAAGTTTCAGATCCACAGCCTAATTACAATTTCCCTTGGGGCATCTTTAGCCCCATTAATAACCATTGTGCTCTCTCGTATTTAACCTGACATTCTTATGACTAATAGGTGAAACCTTTTGAAATGTGTTAACTTATAAAAGCCCTTGGTGATTGCTAACCAAAGGCTGTGGTGTCAGAGAGCACCCAAGTCAGTGGGAGGGATGTCTCTGCTTTGCTTTTTCCACTTTATGTAATGTCTCTAACAACGTGTTTGAAAGGTTTCTTAAGTTATGACTCTCTTTTCCTGTCGTTGTTAAAACTTCATCCAACTCTTACCACATTGGAATACAGACTTTAAGGGAACTGAAACTGTGATCCTGGCCCATGGTCACCCACATTCGGTTCCAGGATAAACTTGGTCTTATCCCTTCTGAGGTAAGAGTTTTCTTTGCATATATAGTGTCAGAGAAACAAATTACTCAGCTTAATCCAGTGCAGGGATCACAATAATCTAAAAACACCTTATACTGACTGTGACCAAAGTTGATCAAAATAAGCTGAGTAATTTAACACCCAGTTTAGTTCAGGGCATCCAGCCTCATTTGGTGAGCACCAGGGTATTTGGGCAGCTTAAAAGTTGTACATTCTTAGGACACACCCAGACTTGATAAGGTCACTTGGCAGGTTTGTGAATTTTAAGAACCCCGCAGATGGTCATTATACCATTGTTTGAGATGCCACAATCTATGCTATTCTGCAAGGTCTTAAAATTACGTAACTAAAAAGAAAGTGGATAAGATGTAATTGCCCACAGTGAGGAGAGAGTGAAAGGCATTATAATCTTCTTTCCCCATCAAGCAAGTAATTGTTAGAAATGTGTTAGTATTCCTATTTAAAAACTTAATACTTTCAAAGGAATGGATTTCAATAAGTAAATATTTTGGTAATATCTTTCATTCTCCAGTACCCAGTCTTGGAAACTTAAAGTCTTTGGCTAACACACAGGTGTACGTATGCACATCACACACCCACCCACACACCCACCCACCCACACACACACACACACACATACACATGTGCGCATGCACGCACATACAATTTTTCAAGGGGGAATACTTTGATTTTAATGACTCAACCACCACTTGCAAGAGCTGAGTAAAGCTGAGTAAAGAGCTTTTGAAAGAGGGAGGAGAAATTGAGGTGTCTGTATCTTTTTCTTTGTCCAAGAATCTTTTGCCCTTTATCTGATGCTGGCAGGGGAGGTCACCTGAAGACAGTTTAAATCCGGGGTGTCACTTCTCAGAATCATGCTCTTTAGCGCTGATGTGGTAAATTCTAGAGACAATCCAAGTAAGTAGTGGCTTGTTCAGTGTACATAGCAATGGACTTAAATACCAAGTCAGTCCATCCAGTAGATGTATCCGCAACCCCTCATTAACGCTGTCGTTATGTGCAACACCAGAGAGTGAAGGACTGAAGGGGCATGGGCACGTGGTGATGATTATCATGTCATTTGTGTTAGAGTTACTGATCGATCCTTTAGCTGGGAAAAAATAACACAGGAATGGGATTAAAGGCAAAGATGTTTGAAGAAAACATCTAAACAGCACACTTTGGCTTTCTACCTCCTAGGGCTAATCTACTTCACAAAAGAACAGCCCACTCATCATGCAGTGCTGGGATCGGTCAGGGTGGTAATGGTAGAAGCAGTGGGTTTGCAGGCTTATAAAGATTTTCTTGAACATTAAAAATAAAACACCCAACAACTACTTGTTTAAACGGCTATATGCCTAATTGCTTGCAGTGCTATAATTTCACATTTCTTTTTTAAAAACATCTTCTAATTATATGCTTTATAATTAGACCATGGAGAGATTATTAAAAATATAAAACCCTTCCTTTCAAAATACAGTTTATGGCTAGAATACCTTTTATCTTAAGTTTTGATTCAAAAGAAATAGACAAGTAAATAGAAAATTAACAGTGATAGAAATTGTTTATAAAACTGAATTGCATTCATTTATTAATTTATTAAATGAAATGTGCCTAGGCTATTTTATATGTAAAACTAATGCAAGGTTCCATCAGAGTTCATGATTCTACACTGAAGTACTGACAAAAAGTGTAGAAAATCATGTCGGAGAAGATAAGACAATACCTCCCATCCTTAGAAGATCGGTCCCATTTTTATCTCTCTGCCTGTCTGTCTGGTTGTCTATCTTCTTTCTTTCTTTCTTTCTTTCTTTCTTTCTTTCTTTCTTTCTTTCTTTCTATCTATCTATCTATCTATCATCTGTCTATTATTTATCTATCATCTATGTCTGTCTATCATCTATCTATCATCTATCTATCTATCTATCATCTATCTACTATCTATCATCTATCTATATGTCTGTCTATCGTCTACATATCTATTTATTATCTGTTTCTTTCTCTCTCTCTTTCCCCCTTCTCTCTTCTATTTTATTCTATTTGAAGTATGTGAGCGTTTTACCAGCAAGTTTATCTGTGTACTACATGCATATAGTGCCTGAGGGTGTCAGAAGATGCTGTTAAATCTCCTGGAACTGAAATCACAGCTAGTTGTTAGCTGTCACGTGGCTGCAAGGAACTAAAACTGGGTCCTCTGGAAAAGCAACTGGTGCTCTTATTTGCAGAGTCATTTTTCCAGCTCTGTCCATCATTTCCCTTTCCTCCATGGTAGGTATTAATTGAAGCTAAAATCTATGAATGGAGATAGCTACTATTACGAAGTGTTGGTGTTCTCAAAGGGTGTGGAGCACTTTCTATATAAGGTTTTAAGCTGGAGCTATTTTGTAACCAAAACTCAAGCCTACAAGTTATTCATATCTTGGTTTTTTTATCTGTGTAATGAAAAAGTGAATATATAACCGACTTCATTATATTATGGAGTTTAGTTTATCATTGAGTTTAATGTGCCTGTTAGACATCAGTAGGTATACCAATGTCCAAAATAAAAACAATTATAAACTTGTGTGTGTGTGTTGAGGGGGTGACCCATACGATTTCATTGTCAAAAACTTTGGAAATAATTTACCCCTAATTATTTTGCATAGTGGAAAATTAAACATATTAAAAATAATAAGTATATAATTATTTTATACCTTATTTATATATTATAAATGTATATAATAATAGTTATATTCCTTGTTGAATTGATTTCTTTCTTTGCCTCTTTGTAGAGTTTACCTCAAAGTATATTTTATCTGATCTAAGTATAGACGCTCCTGTCTGCTAGTGTTTTCCTTTAGCATGGCATGTCTTTTATTGTCTACTCATTGTGTCTATATATACTAGGGAAGGTCACTTCCTGTGGGCAGCAAACTGTAGGATTGGGTGACTCACTGAGTTATTTATTTCTAAGATTATTGCATCTTCATGGTTTTTTTAAAATACATTCAGCCTCTATATTGAAATTAATTTTCCATTTTTATTTTTATTAACAAAATTTTAAAGTAACATGCACAAAGACAACACATCCTTAATAATTTAACTCAGTTTGAATGGTCCCATGCACACATCTTCAATATGTAATTTTATATCACTTCATAAACAGTTGTCTTAATTCTGCCAGGTTTAAAACCAGTTTACTATGTGATTTTTATCATGGTCTATAGTGGTATGAGTGAGACATAGCCCCATAGTTTCAGGCATTTGGATACCTGATCTGCAGTTAATGATGGTGCTTGTGAAGGTTTTGGAGGAGCTATCTAGCTGAAGGAAGAATGTGACTGGGTGTGTGTGGGCTTTGAGAATCTAAGGCCTTGCTCTACACTGGATGCTTTCTCTCTTTTCTGTTTGAAGTTAAAGATGTGAGTCCTCACTCAGTCTTCTGTTCCTGCTGCCTGCTTCCAATCTGTCACCACCATGATGGATCCTTGTTCTAGAGAACCATAAACCAAAATAAACTCTTTCTTCTGTAAATTGCCTTACTCATTGTAGTTGATCACAGCAGCAGAAAAGTAACTAATGCATGGTACAGCATTTCGAGATTGCCGGGTAGTTGGACATTCACAGCTTATTCCCAATAGCAGCGCAGTATAATGTAGTGATAGGTGCTTATGCACTGGCTCTGGGTTGCTATGGGACAATGGTTTTACCCTGTAAAGATTTGTTTCTTGTACTTTTTAAATAAAACACTGATTGACTAGTAGCCAAGCAGGAAGTATAGATGGGTCAATGAGAACTCTTGGAAGAGGGAAGTTTTAGTCTAGAGTCGTGACCCAGATGCAGAGGATGCAAGATGTGACTGCCTCGCTGAAAAAGGTATCAAGCCACGTGGCTAACACAGACAAGAATAATGGACTAATATAAGTTATAAGAGTTAATAATAAGCCTGAGATACTAGGCCAATCAGTTTATAATTAATGTAGACCTCTGTGATTTCCTTAAGACTTAACGACTGTGGGAACTGGGCAGGACAGAAAACTCAGTCCACACTGTGTTTCTAGGATTGTAATCTCACTGTTGTATTTTTCTGAATTTGTGATCTTGGACACTTTACTTAATTGATTTAAGTAAATAATTATTTACAAAATAGAAATAACCTAGAGCTATTGTGATTTTTTTTATCTTTTAAATAGAGATAATATACACAACTTGCCTACTGAATACTAAATACGTGCATTGTATATGGCAAGAAGAGTTTGGAAACCCAGCAGGAAGGAAGATGCTTTTGTACACAGAAAGGAAAAGCCTAACGTGACTTCAATTATCTTTCTTATTAATAGCAGAAACCCAATGGTATAAAATATAGCTGCAAAGAGAATTGATGGAAAACTGGCTCAAATTTTCATATTGACAATTACAACAGAATATATTTAAAACATAAAGGACTTGACCAATTAATGTTTATCAAGTAATTTCTAAGAGCATACATCTCTCCAAGGATGTGAAGAGTTTTATTTCTATACTGTGGTATATTCCAGAAGAAAAAGAAGAAGTAACACTAGTAGATGTGTTCAATAGGATTGGGTCCTCTTGCCTGGTAATTAGATTATGTCCACAGCCTTTCTGACTTGAGACCAGGCCATGCCATCCATGTTCATGGAAGCTCAGCACCTGACTGCTTGAGGCAGAGTGCTTTGGTTTGAAGCCCAGGTCTGTTACTCACTGAACCTATGACTTGGGACTAATTACACACTGACTTCTTGGCTTCAATGTCACCATTTGTGAAGCAAATTATACTAGAACCTGCTCGATAAAAATGAGAAAATAATTGAGGCATACCTTAAAGCGCCACGTAGAAGAAGAAAGAACTATACAACTTCACTAATATTGTTTGATTAAGTACACTTTGTTCTTTTTTTAAAAAAATGGCAAATACACAGATAGGGAATTAAATGGTCCTTGGTGGGAAAGCAGCTAAATTTCTGTCTCCAGAGTTGAGTCTTGTCATACTCTTTGTATTTCATACCTAAGAGTTCTTTCCTACAAATGAACTACACAAAGGACCTTGGAGTTAAATTGAACTATTAGGGAACCTGATTTAAAAACAGATGCCATTTTCCTCACAGTAGGAAGGGGAAAGCCTTATGATTCACCAGTGATAGCAAAATTAAAACAAACAACTAACATGGTTCTGGTCTGGGAACCCAAAGCATTCTAAAGTGAAGAAGATGCAATCTGGAGGCAGAACTGATGTCTCAGTACCAATTCTACCACTGCCCTCCTGGACCTTCATTACTTCGTACGGATTGGACATGAAGCCATTCATCATGAGACCATATGTTCATCTCCTCTGTACCTAAGTCTGGCTAGCTAACCTAGATGGTGCCTCTGAGGCGCTAAGATTGTGTGGCAAGTGGAGACTATTGTGGCATAAAAACTTGCATAGATTTTCAACCCCTTCTTCTAGTTCTTTCTTGTCCTATGATTCTGGTAATGAAGCTGGCAGGACCACACACACAGTGTGTGTGTGTGTGTGTGTGTGTGTGTGTGTGTGTGTGTGTGTGTGTGTGTAGTTTTTGACAAGGGTGCAATGCACAGGTCTGGGCATGCACTTTACACACAGCTGCATTTTATGCATCGTTCTGGCGGCACTGTGCAGATTTAAGGAAGCACAGCAAGACACTAAGTTGAAAGATGGGAAAGAATCAAGCAGCCGAGGCCCCCAAACTGGGGCACTACAGCACCATTTCTGGAGAGCTTACTTCCACATTTAGTTTTGAGAGAAGTTGTATGAATAACCTGCTATTGACAGGTACTGTGTGAGGCCTATCTTAATTCTAGTTTATAACACTGTAGGAGTCATCTTGTACCTTCCCTGATTTATACAAAATGCAGCAATAAGCAGAACACTGAAGCGCATCTGGGACTGTGAGCACAGTCTTCCCACGTATTTCTTTCGACACATACATAAGGCCGTCCACCCCAAGGGAAAACTCAACTAACCAGAGTCCAGGAAGCCGCTCCAATTAAGGAGGCAGATTATAGATGTTTCCTTTGGGGGAATGGAGTGGGAGGGGTTCCACAAGACTCCATTATCTATATAAAGAATAAATAAAACTCATAGATTTTTAAAATATTTTTCTAACTTTACCGAAGTCTGTTAATGGCATTGTGCTACTTTTGCAAAAAATGAATACATCAGCTTAACTGTTAAAAATGATACAGGAGTTGAAAGTGTTATTTGCCAAAGCATTTCTAATTTTGAGTGTATTTTCTACAGAAGTATTATCTACATTCTTAGAGACCTTCTACCCAGCCTTACAAAGTGGGCACATGTCTTCCTTTAACTATAGTATTCTTGGAATGGTTTTGTCCCTATTTGTATGAGTTTGGCTTAGTCTTCAATGATATATTCTTTTCTGTGGAGATGACAATACTTTCTCTAATTCCCAATATTAATTCTACAACATGAAATACACTACCTTTTCCATTACACTAATGCCAGTAGTAATCATATTTCATTCCTCTAAGACTATGTCCTCTGGAAAATATAGTTATTAGCCTTTGCATTTGCTTTGTTCCTCCACATGTTCACTTAGTCAACTGAGAACTGATTAAATATCTCTTTACGTTATGCTAAATAGTGCACATGACAAAGGAGAGACGTGAGAAAAAACAAATCTACTCTATTCATTCAGAGAACGAGTTAACCATAAATGGGCGGAGACAGTGGGACAGTGAACATGTCTAGGACAACACCATCAGTAGAAAAACATTCAGGAGATTCAAAAAAGAGCGCTGAATTCTTCTGGTAAAGGAATCAGAGTAAAGTAATAACAAAAGTATGAACTCTTGAATGCATCCTCTGCCAAGGTTAATAAGTATATGAGTGGATGAAAATTAGAGTCAATGAGATAGCGCGCGCATGGTCAACCACAGTGCAAGTTCAGTTTCGCATGACTGAAGACTCAGGTGTGAGAAAAGACTCAAGAGGCATTAGGAGTAGCATCTGTCAACTTTCAGCCAGCGTTCAAACACAACATAATATGAGTGAGATTGTGATAGGCTGCTGTAGTCTGCTACAATCACACGTACCATACGTACACTGGGCAGCTGCCATTGGGCATACTCTCCATCTGACCACATCTATGACATTTATAGGACAGCAAGTCAAACTAAGTCAGGATTGCAATGCACTGTCTCAGTGGTTTTCATTTCCTCAGAAAAGGAGACTGGGCTATGGTTTAAGTTAGTATAATGGTTTCCAGAGAATAATGTGATATTGATAAGTGCCAATGTATAATTAATTCTTTGATCTACATTGCAAATATGGTCACTCAAAATCCTAGGTAGAGAACATTTGGGAAAAAATAGTTTCCCACAATAGGCTTATTCCCCTGCTCAATTTGGAAGAAGTCAATACTATTTTAGTGGTGAAAGGAGGACATGCTTTAGGCTCACATGAGAAGGGAAATTCTGCAGATCAAATAAAATAGCACACTATTGTTCCTTACATATATGAAGAAAACGGATACACAATGCTATTATATTTTCTCATAGGGATGAAGAGATCAGCATCACACATGTTTATAAAATTCCTTGGGAAATATAAGCTTTATAATAATAGTATTAATATTTTTCAGAAGTATTCCAAAAGATTGAGTATAGTTCAACAAAGAAGGAAATTACATTCCAAATGGTAACTGACACAAATTTTTTATATCTGGAAATTTTCTAGCTTCTATATTCAGGTACATTTTTTTGTCTAAGTACCACATATTTACATGAGTTCTCTGATCTCTGTTTTCCTCTTTGCTAGGAAAGTTCCTATTATATTTTCTGAATCTTTACTCCGTCATTTTCCTTCAGGCAGAGCCTACAGAATAGAGGACAAGAAGCACCGGTTCCAACAACACAGTTCAGGGTCGAAGGAGGAAAAGAAGCTGCTTTCATACCTTCAATAGGTTTTGGTACAAAATGAGATGAGGGCTTGGTTTTCTTCACTCTGTTCCCCTTCATGATTTGACCTTCTTTATTGAGTCCTAGAAACCATGCACGCCCTGATTCCTGCTGGCGATACAGGGTTGAAGAATAGATCACATAGTAGTTTTCAAACACAGACTCCTTAAATTTGCATTCTGGGGTAAAAACATCCTGCAGAAACAAGCACAGTGAAAGAGAAAGGAATTAGCAACAAATCATCAATGGCTGCATCCAGCCAATTTTAAACATATCCCCAGTGATCAGAACAAGGCACAGGAAGCTGAACAAGATTTCAGTTAGCACTCCTATAGAGAATCATTATATGAAATCAAAACTCAAGATTCTTTTTATGACCAACTTTTAGTCCAGAGAAAACAACTGCTCAGCTATGGTCACACTCATTGGAAGCTAAAATCCTGGATAGGTCTAAAATCTTATCAAATGTTCATAAAGCAAAGATTTTGGACAGTCCTCATTTTCATGGCTCTTACATGGAGTTAAACTGGTAGAACTTATCCCTATCCAAAATAAAAATGCAACCACACACAATGCAGGGACACCCGATGCTTTTGAAGCGGATGTGTGATATGCACAAAAATCTACGACTCAGAAAAACAGCCCTAAACTTAACAGTATGCTACTACTTTGCTTGATGCCTGTAGCTTCCCCTTTAATTCATGTAATGCCTGTAGCTTTACCTGTAATTCATTTCAAATGCATACTTAATAATCAAAATGTTAGTTTGAGGCCAGCATGGTCTACAAGAGCTAGTTCCAGGACAGGCTCCAAAGCTACAGAGAATCCCTGTCTCAAAAAACAAATCATCAAGCAGTAGGAGAAAATACTCCTCTTGGAGAACCCTCCGTGAAATGTAGACTGACAGTGCTATTGCAGGAAAAAACATTAAGAACATCTACTTCAGTCTCACCTCTTAAGTAAGAAAACCAAATTGCTAAAGAGTTAGTTAAAGGATGCATGAAAATAAAATTACAAGCTGATATCAGAATTTACTCTTAATTGTGTTATAATCTCAGACTTGCCTCTCAGACTCAACACTTTTGTTTCTAATGATGCATAACACAATTTTATAATACAATAAAATGATGCCTTAATATGCCAACAAATGACATGTATCTTTCTAAAGATGAATTGCCTCTTCTTCTGAGATAAGCAAAAGAAAAATGTGATAAGATGCTACCCTGCTAAAAGCAAGTAAACCCCCCCCCCATGCCAAGCATGTCCGCCATAATGAGTCTTTGTCACTGCACACTGCACAGTTTGCAATGTGAAGCCTTACAAATTGGTGCATTTACATAGAGAGCTGTGTAGAAATAAAGCTGGCAGGAACCATGTCTTATAAAGTCCTGCCTTCATTTAGAGAGAGTTAAGAGACAACTAGGAGGCTAGTGATGGTGGTCAGTGCTACAGATGCCAACAAAAGGACTCGGTGATTTGAAATGAGTTTCATATTACTGAACGAAAAATGGGACTGAGAAAATGGAAATGCAATAATAATAGCAACAGTACATTAACACCATTTATATTAAAACTGAGAATGACAATTCTCATAGTACTCCTCCATCTGAGAATAATATCCTGATTATCTTGGAAATAAATGACTATAAGATATTAATATGAGGGTGATAGAAACTGCCCAGTTAAAAGTGTTGATAAGGATAGTATTGTGAAAAAAATTCTGTAGCTCTCACACATTGCTGATAGGACCACAAAGTGGAGTAACAGAAGAGAAAGTGGCCTGACATTTTCCCAAAGGAATAAAAATACAGTTAGCAAGGATTCAATCATCCTACTCCTAGCCATGCACCTCTAGGATGTGAAAACATGAATGTAATAAAATTTATACATAAATGTTGATAGTAGTATTGATTACAGAAACAACTTAAATATCTATCAACTGTTGAGTAGATTAACGAAATGTGGCATAGCTGTATAATGTACTGCTATTCATTGGGAGGAGTAATGGGACACTGATTCATTTGAAAATATAAATGAGCCTTAAAACATTACGTTAAGTGAAACACAAAACCATTAGGCTACATGGTGCAAATGCTACATGTTATTTGATTCCATTTATATGAAATATTACAACAGGCTTTGTAATATTGCGTATAATGAGCAAACCATCTCAGAGACGGAAAATAATGGATGTCACGTGCTACCACGGAGTTGGAATAAAACAGAGAATGACTGCTTCCCTGAAGAAATGGAAAGGAGTCAGAATTAAATAGTTCTGAGACATGTGTACCTTTGTACAAATACAAAAATATACTGAGAGCCTTTAAGTATAAATTTTATTGTGTATATATTACATTTAATAAAAAATCATAGAAAGAAATTGGCTGGAGAAGATGAGAGGAGAGAAGAAAACTATTGCATGCTCTTGCCTGGCAGCATTGGTGTTCTTTATGTCATCATGCTCATATTACTAAGAAAGAGTCAAATCATTGCCAAATGTAGATATTAAAGAAGTACAGATTCAATTAGCAAAATGTATTATTATCAGTCTTTTCAGGTTTTCATGCTGGCACTGAATCCAGGCCGTGTGTATTCTCGGCAAGTACACTGCTCTGAACTGCATTACCAGGCCAGTATTGGTCTGTTTTTCAAACTGATGAACTTCCTGATGCAAGTTAATATTGAAAGAAAAATGGCTAATTGAGCTGGTAGTTTTAGAGGCTAAAAGGATTCTTAGATAGATGATAAAAGGGAGAACGATGGAGTAAAAGAAATCATTTCACAAAATAGGAAGTCAGAGACAGACATGGATTCCCCAGTGCTTCCTAAGACCACATTCATAGTTGACTTAAGGAACTACCACTATGCCCCACCTCTTACTGGTCCTGCTACCTTCCAATATTGTCAGTCTATAAGAAAATCAAGTTCTGATTTGGAACTAAGTTGAAAGATTTAGAAAAAGTTTAAATTTGCTATTATTATAAAAGTATACTGGGGGTTTGGAGAGAACATTAAGTAGGTAAAATGTTTGCCAAGTATGAGAAACTATGATAGATCCTGAAGAACCCAAATGAAAACATTGGTGTCTGGGTCAGCAAAGACAGACAGCTCTGTGAGACTTACTGGCAAGCCAGTTCAGCTGAAATAATGAGTCCCAGGTTCAGTGAGATTTGCTGTCTCAAAATATAACATGGAGATATATTTGGAAGAAATCTATCATTAACCTCTCTTACCTCTGCACACAAATGCACATGCATGCAATTGCACTCAAGCACACACACAAACCCAAGATGACTGAGCATTTTCAATGCTTTTGTGTCTTGATCTGTCTCAATACTAAATAAACATAGTATTATCTCTAGATGTTAAGAAGCTCCAAGACTCCAGGGAGAAATAAACCTTAGGGCACTGAGTCTGCGTGGGCAATGATTTGCATTATAACCTCCACTGTACAACTGCTGTTTCAACATAAAGTTGGGCATCTGTGAATTTACACTATATTTTCTACTACCCTCTTCTCGCATAATAAAATGTAGAAATCCTGGACTTGTAGTACCGACCAATAAAGACTGTGCTTCTAGCACCACACATATTGCTTTATGAGACTTCAAGTCAGTGGCTAAAACCTGAATTTCATATCTTTCAGATGAAAAAGGAGGCATGTCAATAGAAAGAGTTGATACAGATGGATACACGTTATAAACTTTCAAAATATATGCAGCACCTTGTTAGTGTTATCCATGTAACAGAATGATGGATTTTTTTCTCACAACAAGCTATTAAATTCTATATTTTAGTCATGTATTTGTGTGTTGTCTATCGTCCAGAAAGGCATGCACAAGCATACTTGACACTAAGCGCACAGTCATTTAAAAGTCTTTGGCCAAGACTTAGACAGTCACATATTTTCAGATGAATTCTAAGATCGTTCAATGACTGTCTAGACTGGCAGGACATCTGGTGTGCAGTGAAGACACTCTGGGAGCCAAAGGTGGCAAACCCTAGAATGCCTTCACCAATACTGAAAACAGAGCCATGGGCAGTAAAATAAGGAAGAGTTTTCCCTCTTGAAAATCCAAATTGCAATCTGTGAATTCTTCTTACGTCTGTGATCTTGAGCTTTTAGCTTAATGCAGAAATTACAGTAAGGTTTATAGAAACATGTATTGATGAAGCATAAACTCCCCATTAGTGCATCATATATGTAGAAGAGGGCAATGCTTATGATACAACCCAGTCATTTACTTTTTAAAAATTATTCATCCATTAGAATATTCATTACTTCAGTAAAATATGAATAGGTTGATAGTGTTCAGATACAAATATTTACCAGAGGTTTCCATGCTTTGGCTCTAGTTCTATCCAAGCCTATGACAAGCTCCTTTTTGCCTTCTGAACATGTCTCCAGCCTAGCCTTGTTCTTAACAGTTCAGAATACCCACCCACCTCTGTCCAGAGGATGAATGAAAGCCAAATCATCCTCCAAGTCCATGAAGCTCACCCAGTATCCCATTCCACCTGGTTCCAGTCCGACCCTGCAGAATTCTAGAGTCACATCTTCAAAGTGAATGCTGTACTTGGATTTACTCTCATGTCAAATTTATTCCTGACTTTTTTTCTTCACTTAGCCTTTGGATATACATGATCTCTGGCATCCATGTCTGTAGTTGACAACTGTTTCCTTTTGACCAGGTTTTAATTGTGGCAATACAGACAGTTCCTAGCCTCATTTAAATGCATTAAATGGAAGATGCAAATATCATGAAGAATAAGGAGATGGAAATTCAGAGATTCTCGGGAAAATATGACAAAAATGCTGTATGTTTTTCATAGTAGACTACACTGACATAGTTCTCATCAAATGCCAGTTCCTGGTTACACTGCACTTCCTAACTGAACAATGATGGTGACATTCTCTTGACCTCTCTATCCTATACACCCATGAAAGATGGTATTTACAGTAACATTAGGTGATGGTGAACTTTCCCTCCTTCATTTTCTCAAGGCATTGTTAACATTTCTTGTAATATTTAAGATGTTGTCTGTATCGTCATAGTTTGTCCTCCTCCCATACATCCACTACACTTTGGTTCATGGGAAACTGCTCCTTGTCACATTTTACAAATCTTAACACATTTGGCAGTCATTTTATTCTTGTTGAAATAAATAGTAAGAATTACACAACAGGGAGACAA